GCCATCCCCCGAAGCTTCTCGCAGAGTACAAAAGTAATCATGGTTTGTGGAGCCAATCTTGCAAATATTGCAAAGCCTCTGAAATTTTTTCAAATTCAAGAAACAGATAATTATTGACTTAATTAGTAACTTAACCTGCAGGAACTAAATTACTTACAGCAGATCAGGGATGTTTCGACTTACCCTTTGTAAAGACCAGAAGGACCTTCAGTGCGAAGTACCTGGAATCATAAGGTTTCATGAAACATTAGTTTAAGATCATCTGAGTATTGTAGGAGTATGATCACAAGCATCCCGAAAACTTCCCAAATGTTTTTCCTAACCCCTACTGCTCTAATATACCCTATCCTGTGTCCCTCAAACACCTAATGATGGCTTTGCAGTAGCTCATTCTCAATGAAGTATCTTATCATTCAGTTCTTCCCCTCTATATTAAGTTTTTGTCAGTCTTTTGATGAAAAGATGGATGAAAGACGAAAATAATCTTACCCTGAATGCAAAGCTATACACCTAGCGAAGAAGGCTTGACTATGTTAAAAAGTACGCTTTGTTAAAGTAAAAAACAATGGAATAACTTGCTGAACACAATTGTGGATAAATAACCATAGGAAAGAGTGGAGTAAGAGGCTGCAAAGTAACAACCTGATATGCACAGTGCAATCCATTTCTGTACAGTCCGGCACAATTTGATTCTCTCTGCAACATAAGACGGGTTTTAACCATGTCCATTGGTGCTGTCATAACCGTGCTTACTGACCCTGCAATGGTACTTGAGCTTCACAATATGCAAAAGAAGAGTTAGCATATATTGGGACTGCAAATGACAAAACGTAGAAGTAAAACATAAATAAAAGATGAAACATTCTCGTAACATCAGCTCAGATTGGTAGAGTAGGACATTGATCTCCACAAAATAAAGACAATTACTTTCTGGGCAATGTAAGAGCTAACGAAACATAGTCAGCTTTTAGTTTCAGTGCATTCCAACAACACTCCAAAGCTAGGAAAAGATTAACAGTGTTGTTCATAGTGTAATAATCTGAGGATGCATGCTTGTGAAAATTTAGATAACTTTTCAAGAGTCAGTTCCTACCTAAATGAAAGATGTGGGAAATAGAAATTAACTAAATGCAGGCCAACTACTGGATCTCTATTTCAGGCTAATTATACAGATTCATAACTTATAACCATCCTTTTAGTCAAAGTGCTCAGTAGCCTTGCATCCAGAAAAGAAGGTGCATTACTTCAACTCAATCATACAGTCGCATGTTCTCTAAAAATAGTGAGCACATTGGACTATATTTACAGTGATGGGAAGTGTGCCTACATGAGATGAAGGTGAAATCCCTCCTCCAGGGGAGTATACTTTATTAGTGCCTGCTTGGATTCATCATATGTGGCCAACTGAGATGCAGTCAAAGTGGCAGCTCTAGCCATAGCAGGCCCAACTCCCTTCCAAAGAGCTCTTACTCCTTCTTCTGAAGCAATTCTCCTCATTTCATGGATTGGTCCTAAGCTTGATCTTGTGTTCATTTGCATCCGTACCTGGAAACCAGCATAACAAATGAGGATTGTTCAGGAGAAACCATAAAGCCTAAAAAAAAGAGAGTACCTTCAAGACTTCCACAGGATTGGTCAGTGCTGTGGCAACGGCCCCTGAGAATGCTCCAGATGCAATCTTCACCAAGATATTGGTGGACTCAAAAGCCAATTCACAGAGATATTTTGATGGTTCGTATAATCCTAAACGGAGACCACCATAAAGAACTGACCTCAAGTGAGATGCAGTCAAGGTGGCAGCTCTAGCCATAGCAGGCCCAACTCCCTTCCAAAGAGCTCTTACTCCTTCTTCTGAAGCAATTCTCCTCATTTCATGGATTGGTCCTAAGCTTGATCTTGTGTTCATTTGCATCCGTACCTGGAAACCAGCATAACAAATGAGGATTGTTCAGGAGAAACCATAAAGCCTAAAAAAAAGAGAGTACCTTCAAGACTTCCACAGGATTGGTCAGTGCTGTGGCAACGGCCCCTGAGAATGCTCCAGATGCAATCTTCACCAAGATATTGGTGGACTCAAAAGCCAATTCACAGAGATATTTTGATGGTTCGTATAATCCTAAACGGAGACCACCATAAAGAACTGACCTCATCAATGAAGGTGCCAATCCCAGATACAAGGATCTCAGTCCTTCACTTTCAACTACTTGAAGAGAAAGCTTCCCCTAACACCAATGCAATGGGAAAAATCACATAAGCTGCAGCTATTAACCAAGATATATATTTCTAAGCTATAATAAAAAGGGATATAAGCCGTAAAAGCCTAAGCTTCCTGTCATACCATTCCGACCAAAGGACCTCTCTGACCAACAAGTTGCATCTGCAGTCTAACTTTCAAAACATCTGCACACAATAAGCACAATCATGCATCTTTATTTAGTAAAAGACTGCCTTTCACTGAAAACTAACTACAATCAGGGTGGAGAGAGGAGGAATTAGGTTATGCACCCATTCCTTCCATATCCTTGCAGTTTTTGCTCTTCTAATTTAAGTTATAAAGACCCAAGTACATGGAACAACATATGATAATGTAGGACATTCATGTAGTTAGTTCACCAAAATTGAATGCTTGTCCCCTTTACACGTTCTTGAGTAGTGTAGTGATCATATAGATCTCATGAACTTTAAATAGTTATATGAGAAAAATAAACAGTGATTAGGAACTCTCTTTCTCCTTCTTTAAAGGAGAGGTAATTACATTGAATGACAAACCACCCGAGTAAAATATAGGACATTCAACTCAATACCCCAAATCTTTTTTTGAATTTCTCTCTCACCCTCTTGGGTGGCAATACATTTTGCAACTCCGAAGTCACATCATCAATAGATCCGTACTATTTGATATTATCCGGTCTTGTCTGGTTGCAACAAAGGATTACTTTCTACCATGAGCTTTAACTAAATTGGCCAAGCAAAATCAAAGTGATAGCTGATTCTAAGCAGATGCTTGGACATGAATTGAGTAATATTTATAAGAAAAGTAGTATTTACAACAACAACATACCTAGCATCATCCTGCAAGTGGGGTCTGCGGAGGGTAGGATGTACGCAAACCTTACCCCTACCTTTGAGGGGTAGAGAGGTTGTTTCCGGTAAAACCTCAGCTCAAAACAAATGCAATAAAGCATGATAGAGAGAAAAAAACCGGCAGCAAAATATCAAGATAAACATTGTTTGGTTATATAGGATAAAGAAAAGTAGTAGTATTTGATGTTGAAAAATGGTATTTGAAAGTTGAAGTCGTGTTTCAACAAGCATTTCACTTGAAAAAAAGTTCAAAATTTTATAATTGGGAAAAAGAATTTCACAAATAGTTTTTCAAATTTGAGAGACTCATCTTCAAAAACTAACCAAAAATCATTTTCTCACCATCAATAAAATGCTAGGCAACATTTGCATCTAAAAAGTTTTCTCCTTTATACCACCCCTTTACTTTTAAGCTCAAAGCAACAAAATGCTTCCAAATTCAATAGAGGTGTATGAGGTAGAATCAACAAATAATCATAAAATTAAGTGAAGAAAGAACCTAAAGGATGAGTGACTGCTGTTGCAGCAGCAACAGACATTCCACTTGTACCAAAATGAGACACAACATCTGAGGCTGAAACACCCCATTTTCGTCTCTCCTTCACCTCCATGGATCCTGAGGAAAAAAAAAACCCAAATCAGAATTCATTTAAAAAAAAAAAAAAAAACTTTCCCCATAACGAGATACAACAAACTATGCTTATTCTGAACCAAAAAAAAAATAAAAATCAAATTTTGATGGATAACACAACTTATTAAATGGGTATATAGAAATGGGGTTCAATCACAAACCTGAAGGGAGAGTTTTCCCGGTTGCCGGCGTCGAGTCGCCGGCCATTCTTGATTTTTCCGAAATGGGTCTGCTGCGTTTCTGTTTTTTTTTTTTTTTTTTTTTTTTTTTTTGCTTTATTTAAAATTGAAGGGT